AAGAAGGCCACAGACGCCTCCGGCTAGTGGAGCAGGCAGATCGACCTGGTGACTGGTCTAAAAATGCTTTGAGACCAACACAGAGATGGCCAAGCATATGCGCGTATAGGGGTCATGTCGACAGACAACAAGGAAGACAAGCAGAATAAATATGTCTAAGTTAAGGACACGCGAAAGTGTGAGGACAAGCCCTGGACGAACAGCGTGGGCGGGCGCAGCAGGAGACGTACAAGGAGGGTAAAAGAGGCGGTGGATAAGCGGCCAGTGCGTGAGAGCACCGACAGCAAATGCCGACTGCACGCGTGTAGTCTAAAGTAGGTCTTACGACCTGAATAGAAGAGTGAGCCAGCGCTGGCGTACTGGGCCTCGGCCCAGCGGGCAGACTGAGAAGAGCTGCCAACAAAGCCAGTCGAGATAAGAAGGCCATGCATGCGTCATCAGAGCGGGGCCAATTTGAAAAGCTGGCGTTGGCCTGGTGAAGCAAAGCCCAAAGCGCGTCTAAGCACGAATGCGTAGGGCAAATGCAATTTAGGCACGCGCGAGTTCGCGCAAAAGCAAATGTTCATATGCACCTAGGCAAAGATGTAGATAAATGCTTTGAACCAAAGGCCAATGATCCGTGATCCCGAGATGCAAACAAGCCCAAAAAAGCCCCGAACACAAGGATGGTGAGATATTTTCCCCAGACTATAATCATGCGATACCACATTACAGAAAAAGCACGAAACATCACTATTTCACGCGAAAAAAATTGCATTAAATGTTAAAAGGAATACTTTGCTTAAACATGACAACAAAATGTGTTTTTGTGTGGTTGCAGACGTTCTTCGTTGTATAGACTCAGGATTACCTGGCTTCAGTAGCTTAGCCAGTCATAAGAAGGCGCTATATCCTTCGCAAATGTATGTCTATGTTATCGTAGCTGTATTACAGTGATTTCCATAGCCTGGAAGAACACAAGACAGCAACGGAAAAGGAAACAGAGTTAGAAGCTGGAATCTCCTAGCCAGTACAACCAAGTTGGAAAAGCAACAAGTAGAAGGAAGACAAGTTTTGGAAAATAGATATTGTATATTAATGGGATAAATATAGATTGGTAGTAAACATTAATGATTGATGAGAATGAATTGTAAGTATTGGATTCCAAGTCTTTCAGAGTCTTCAATAGGTTCTTTATAATGAAAACTTCAAAAACACACATGGAAAACTAGTATTAGTAGAAAAAGTGTTAATATCCATACCAGGTCAATATTATACAAAAGCAAAAGTAACTCAAAAGTAGAGGTAGT